CTCTCTCTCTCTCTCTCTCTCTCTCTCTCTCTCTCTCTCTCTCTCTCTCTCTCTCTTCTCTCGGCTAGCTTCTCTCTGACGAACAGTAATCGCAAGCAATTCCGAAACTCCGATAAAGGGGCGCCACTTCAACAGGATTGACGTGACGCCGAAGGGGAGCCCACCTCTGGCCCATCCCCACGTTCTTCGACTCGCTCATCCGCTATCGTCCTGCGGGTCGATGTCAGAAAAAAAAAAGAGAGAGAAGACGCCGATCTCGCTTTATCGACACTGACAAACGGTCGTAACGAACCGGATAAAAGAAAGACAGGAAAAAAAGTTGCGCACAAACGGGAAGCGCGCGGTTGCGCTATACAAAAAGACACAACTTTCTTTGCCTAAGGTCAACTTTTCGGCTAAATTTCCGGCAAACTTTCGTGTCTCCGATTTCGCCACCAGAGGCTTACTCTCTACGACTAAAAATAACACGGTATCGTTCGACGGAATTTCCCGCAAAGAATTTCCGTTCGCGGTAATTAGCCACGGGGGAATTTTCCGCGACTGTCTCGACGATCGAATGCAACAAAGGAATTAATGTAATGTAAGAGTAAAAAATTTAATTAAAGTAGATTGTATCATTAAACAATATTTCGAGCATTTACTCTCCTGTGCACATTAATTTGCAATCGAATTAATTTTACTCTACAATTTATATAGGTATATATTTTTTTTAATACTTATCACGCGACAGTACACACATACTGAAACTGATGTGTTCGTAGATTCTCCTCTGCCTCGCACGTAGAGAAATTTGGAACACCTTCAAAAAGTTATGCCAAAGTCAACCAACAGATATCTATCTATACATTCCGAGGAAATCCATTCTACCGCGATACCAAAGTTTTTTGGATTGTCGCCAGCGACGGCCGACGACTCTTCGAGAATTCCAAATTTTCCACGTTGCAAGACGAGGGCTGCATCCGTGAGCGGGGAGAGTACGTGCGCCCGGGCTGCTTTGCAATTAAAATGCATCCCGCCGACGCCGCCCCATCGCTTGCAGATTCTGTAAGGCGATGGCACAAGCTTTTTAACGTCCCAACGTGTCGCGAACCAACTTAGTGGGATTCTTTCAACGAACCCGGTTCTAACGCACTGCCTATCAGTATGATCTTACTTATTTCATCTTCCACTAGATAAGTCTGACAAACTCGTAACCGACTGACGAAAATGGAAACTGAACTTCGGTATTTGTAATCTTTAGGTAACTTTAGGTAACTCGTCCGATATCATTTGTCATGTGTGAGTGGAATTCGAAGACAAATTAAAAGCGAATCCAGTTAACAACGAAAAAGAAATGGCGCCCGATTACGTAGCGCAGAATAAAAGGGATCAATTTCATTGAGATCCGTCAAAATTAGTTATCAAAGTAGCGGCTTTCAAAGACGCTTTGACGATCATTAGTGACGGAGAATGATGGAATTTTGATGGCGCAAAGGAGAAAGAGCGTAATCTTTAAAAGGCAAAAGTGATTACGGCCAATAAATTCGCAAGGCAGACGGGAAATGGTCGTGTCACGGTGCTGTTCTCTCCGCACGAGAACACAAGAGGGTATTACATCAATAAAGGCCAACTGCTATCCGCCGATTCGAATTTCGTCGTCGACAAGAGCGAATGAAATTCGCCTGCTTTGAAATTCCAAACCACCGTCTTATGTCGAAGGAGTAGATCCTCACAATCAAAGCAATAGCGTCACGTATAGCACTCACGAAAATGGAAACCGAATTTCGATGGCCGGCATTTGCAATCTTTAAGTAGCCTGTCCGATATCGTCTCATTCGTCATGCATGAGTGGAATTTGACTACAAATTAGGGGCAAAATCAAGTTAGCGACAAAATTACCCCGACTGCGACATCGTTCAACGAAATTTTTATCTTAAAATATCACGTTACATTCAATCTTTCAAAAATGCAACTGTGTCTTTATATGCTTTACAAAAAAAGGAAATGGTTCTTTCTCTGCGTCTAAAATTATTAAAATAATTATTTTCTGTTTTATAGAATCTTTATAAGGGTTGTAAAAAATTCTTGCAAACACCCATAATGAAAAGAAATGACTAGGACGAAATGGAAGATAATTAAAATTTCCATATCTGTTGCATTCTAATATACTATTCAATCTTCAAAACGCATTTTTTTTAATTAAAAAATATATTTTTAATTTTTATTGCAGTTCGCGTGTATTTTATTATTCCCGATAAAAAAAATTCGTTTCATTCACGGGGCGAGTATTTTTCCAAATTAAATAAAATTCATTGAATTTCCATGTCAGAAATAATATCGCTTTTACTAATAATAATAATGAAATATCCACGTTCGTAAGAAACCACCTCAATAATGAGCATCAGTAATGTTACATATTATTCGAGGCTGCAGATAATTCACAGAGTTATATATCTCTTACATATTTTATTAGATACTGTTAATTAATTTATAAAATACGATAAGCTCCAATCGATCAATCATCGTAGAGACGTATTAATATAGACGTCGCATTAATAGCGATAATGATTCTACTAACTAACACGTTAATAACCAACAGTAACATAAACGCGTACAAAGAGGCTCAGCTGGTTAATTCTCATTACAATAGTAATTAGCTGTAGAGATACTATTATAAAATACCGCGTTCAATTAGCATACAACTAACACATAATTTGTGTTCGTAATCCCTTCCGAGATATTAAATAGTTCTTCGTGCCGAAACTACATCATGTGGAATTTTTTTCAACTTTTAATTTAGTTTATTACGTGTTTTTTCATTTTACTTTCACCTCTTTCAGCAGTAGTTGTAATAATAAAACCAAGTTGCAAAATGTGCTTGCACGTCTTACGCACATATCCAATTCAAATATGCCACACGCAGAAGGTTGTATTAGAAAAACTATTAGTGTACTCACTTGTTCCACCCAAACGTTTGTCGTCATGATCTGGTTCTTCAGGTTCTGAAAAAGAAAACAGAGACACAGATGAGCATCGGGTCTAGAAGGCGTTATCCTACCTCGACTGTTTCTGGTTACTCAGAGATAGATTTATTGGTTTTTCGAGACACACTAGAATGATACTAGAGAAAGATAGAAAAGGGAAGCTCTTATCGCTCGAAAATCCCAATAATTCATCCCACTGTCGAGTACATCCGTTTTCTACGTGAAAGCAGTATTATCGAATACTGGTTCATCTTATTCTTTTTTCTTAAGGAAAGCTATGTTTTATGACGAAACGCATCATTCACGATATTCGCATGTAACTTTATTGTTGAAACCAGAAAGATTCGCAGCATCTGAGAATTGCGTTCAGCGATGGGTCGATCGTGCAGCGGTTCCCTTTAAACCGTGCCAGACAATCGCTGTTATCTGGCGGCCCCTCGCGCACTGCGGGTCAATAGATTTCCCCGATTCCGCCAATAGAAACGTCAACGAACATTACAAGCAGTTACAGTTCCGCATTGAGCCCCGCGCCTCGGTATCAGTAGTACTGGCAAGCCGTAGTCCGCGGCCGGCGCCCAGTAGTAATGGAACGCGATAATGCTGACAGCAGGTAAGGCATCATGACTATCCGCGGGTAGTAGTGAGTGTCAGGCTATAGGCAAACGGGCTCGGCTACGAGAGACCGTGGCCGTCGAAGCTATGTGTTAACGTACGTTAATGTGCCACGCGATAACGGTTATAGCGCCACAATCAGTCGCGTCATCGTCAATAGTCATCGTGGAGTTTCACGTCGGATATACATATGCAGATCTCAGTGGTACACGAGAGAGAAACGAGAGAGAACCGAGAGAGAACGTTAGAGCCCAACTGCTGCCTGCGGTGGATTCGGCTTATCGCAAACTGTACGATGGAATCGGTGGCTCTTGGCAAATGGGAAAATAGATATCTCACATTTTAACATTCTTTATGCGTTTTCATAAACGTGTGAACATTTACACGCGTTGGTAGAAAAAAAGCAACGCAGGCGGTGTTTTTAAATGAACAACAACACTTGATGACAGGGCAATTCAAAATTTCCGAAAAATCTATTCTTTTCTAAAGTTAAAATTGTTTAACTAATAAGAATATTCTTCAAGTCGCCAGCAGTAATTAACAACTTCAGTATTTTCTTGCCCACATCTGGCATTTTTAATAATACAGAAAATTTTATTGCGAAAAATATTACCTCAGTCAGGGTTTGAACCTGGACTTCCCTACACTCTAGGGCGTCTCACCAATTCGACCACTGAGCGATGTTACACATGCCAGTGATGTTACACAGTCCAGGTCGAAGCCCTGACTGAGGTAATATTTTTCGCAATAAAATTTTCTATATTATTAAAAATGCCAGATATGGTCAAGAAAACACTGAAGTTGTTAACAATATTTGTTACAATTCTTTAATTTTGTATATTAAATATTTTGACATGCGTTTTCGGAGTTTAAATTCTATTCAATCCACTGAAAATTAACGAAAGAATGAAAAATGAACCAAGACGAGATTCTAAAAGATCAATTTCCAAACTTTCTGCAGTTTTTTAGCTTTAGCATACTATTAAATTTTTTTTAAATCTAAATTATCGCAGTATCTATTTTGCGTTAGCTTCGGACCTCGGTGACGTGAAATGACTAGTTTCGCGACGTAAGTCGACGAGAGCATAATATAAATCGCATACATTGTTATCTGAAACGAGCATAAATAAATTCTGCAAAAGTTGCGAACGCTGCGGAAGCAACGGAGCCGAAATAATCGGTATCGTTACATTAAATAAAACGGTGATATTATTTTCAGCGCGGCGAGCTTCAAGATTAATCGCGTCGGCAGTTATCGCCGTTCTCCTCTATGCGGCGGGGTTTTACGCGACGGTGTTTAAAGTTTGCTTCACAAGCGTATCATTAGCAATTATCGCGCCGCGTGCAAACTCGTGGCGTACGAGAACGGCGCGCTAAACATAACGGTAGTTACAGTTGTGTAATCAAATATATCGGCATCAACGATCGCCCGCCGCGCTTCTACGGACGCGTGATAGCTAAGTGATAATAACAGGGTCTCGTGAACGTGCGCGTGGTTACGATTTCGTACTCAGCCATATTAATGTCCGCATGCCAGATACGGCGAGAGCTGCATCCCCGAAAGCGCGACAAGTGAATGCCGTAACCGCAGCGGTAATTATGGTTACCAAATCGGATGTTGCGTATCGTTGCTATTGCCGGTACCCTGCATACACAATTGTAATTATAATGCGGCAGCTTAGCGCACGCAATTATCTTAGATGACGCACCGCGATCCGACTGTATACAACTGTATACAGAAAGTAACAAATAATTACCAAATCGTTGATCAAATGTCACGGACGGAACAGCGGGATTTATGAGACTCGTATTATTCTTAAGAAATCAGGACTGTATATTTGTTTAATTTTTTATTTCGGACGTCTTGACGATTGAATGTTTAAGTAATTGTTGTTAAAACAAATTGCCTCTGTAAATTATCAGACAACGATCCAATAAGTACTCGCGCAGCTACTTTATTTCATTTACAATGCATTGAACATTTTGACTAGAAAAAAAAACCAGTTAACTCTTGGAAGTATTCTGTGTACATTTTACTACTTCAGTAAAAGTAAAAAGAAGAGATTACTCTTTAGCGAACATAAAAGTTTAATGGCACGCCGCTGACGTATACAGAATATATGCAATACTTTTTTCTTTAAATCTTCATGGGCCTCCCCTTTTGTACACGCTTCAGCGTGAGGTGTAACGTCGCATTTATCGCCGCGAAAAATCACGATGCCACGCTTCACTCTCTGAAAACGGCGACGTTAACGTCGCGTTTTACAATATCGTGAAAGTTACTTTACGAGATTCGGAAGTAATCGAGAAGGCGACCTTCGTTCCGTCGACGGAAAAAAATGCTACTTATCCGAAACTCGTTGCGAGTGACATAAAAATCGATAATTCCAGGGACGATAGATTAGCGTCTTGTCTCAGAAAAGTTAAAGAGCCTGTATTATTCCCGGTTTAATCGATGCAACGGGCGATTAAATATTGAAAGTCCATCGAGTGACTCAACGTCGCGATTTCCTGGCATTACGACAATGCGAGAGTAAACGTTATTAAATATACAAACGTATCAAAAGCTTTGCAATCAAATGCTATCGCGAGTATTACACGTGAGCCACTGCGTTAATTCATGTATAGCTAAATCAATTTCGTAAAATAATAGTGATATCGTTAGGTATAATTGCAGATTTCATTTAAAAGTGCGATATAGATGTGAGTCTAAATGGCTATACAATCCAAAACAACTAACTAAAAAAGAAGCTAATGACCGATTGAATTATTCGTATCCAACGGTACCGAATCCTCAACTTAACGTAATTCAACAAGGTGTAATGTTGATACGTGAAGCATGCAAAATCAAAGAAAACTTGGCGCTCAAGCTTCTACGGCCATCGGTAAGGTATTGTTACCTCGGTGTTCGAATTTAAATGGGAATTATGCGCATACCGATAAGAATTTTTATGAGTGTACATAGTTCATCGTCGGCAACACGAATAAATTATGTAATTTCATCGCAGGCGCAACCGCGGGCACTGAAAAATGTATATCATCGAATCGTCTATTATTATTACGATCAAATAAACGCATATTTCTTGTCCAACGGTGGGAATAAAATATTTTCATGAAATGTTTATTCTTTCATGTAAACTTCATTATATGCTGCGATATTTTTCATGCAAATGCGCGACTATATACGTTCGAATAAAGAATAAAACCCTGTTCGTGTTCAGCATTTTATTGAACAAGCTGCTTGCGATTAATACCAATGCGAGATTTCATTATTCGTTGTATTATACTATGTAATTATTTACGCTTTGCAGTACGCATTATTTACGGATGTTATAATCTTTACTAACATTTAACAATTAAATACATTAATATTTATTTAACAGGTCAAATATTATGTTTGTTTAATGAGCAAATAATGTTCAAAGAAGGCGAAACAAAACGCTAGTAAAAACGTTCTCGGGATTTATGCAGATTTCAGAATTTTCCGTGGCGATAAAAAGGCGATTAAACTTTCAGACTTGCAATTCAATTTAGATACGTAATAATGCAGGTGGAAAATCAGCGTCCGTTTTACGCAAATTAAATTGTAAGCATTTCCTTTAAACTTCAAATTCATCGCGTTAATTTTATAGCCGGCATAAAGCGCGCGTTACTGCGAATTCTATGCCCGAAGTGCCCTAAACTTTGCCAACCCTTAACCTTCGATTGCAACTCGCACGTCTACACGAGTAAATCCGAGCGTATGCGTCAGCAGCAACTTTTCGAAATGAAACTTGAAACTTGGCGCGAATAACTGAGAACGGACGTCGCAGGACTGCCGTGCGGAGTCCAAGTGTGCAAGAAATCTGTAAGGAAGTTACACGAGTAAGAACGTAACTATGCCGCGTGTTCCCGCCGATTTAATCGCAAAAAATCTATACAGGCGAAAAGCGAAGGGGGGAAGTCGGAACTTGCTCGCTTTGATGAAGCAAGAAATGGAATCATATTGAGGCATCGAACAAAGATAGTAAAAATACAGAAATCTTTCTATTACAAAGTTTCAACGAGTACTTTCGAACAATGTTGCCTTCCTGCTTCCTTTATAGAATTCATTCTTCGAGGATAATATGGATTTTACCAAAGCGCACTTACGTATTATCGAAGCGGAACGTTAAAATCGTACAAGTGACTTTTTGTGTATAAAGTATCAGCATTATCCGTTCAGTTTTGTAAGTTATACAAGTAAAAGGAAGTAATAACGCTATTATCTCAATAATGTTTCATTCAAAACGTTACTTTAATCCTACGAATTTAAATTCTATACAAATTTTATACCGAACTTATATACTTTTATACCGAAATTAATCGGTGATAAATAACAGGATTTCATTGGACTTTTGCTCGCAGATCAACTCCGGATGATCCGA